GTGTGTGTGGCCCACAAGGGCACTTGCTCGTTCATTGGGCCCTCAGGGCCGGTACTTACCTGTGGCCGTGACATTGAGGGATTGCAGCAGGAAAAACACTCAAGTAGCGGGTAGGCCGGTACCGCACCCTGAAGGGGTAGATGTGCGGGTACTGGAGGCCGAGCAGAAGAAGACAAAAGTGGAATTTTTAGAGGCCCAGTAGTTGTAGGCTAGATCTACGCGGGTACCAGTCCAACCGGTCTGAGCCTAGAGCCTGTACGGGCAATATCAGAGTCTGCAATGATGTTTCCCTCCAAAAGGGAGGAGGTACCGGTTGCTTGGGAGGCCAAGTGGCCTGGAAGTCACTGCCCGAAGAGGCAAGCAGGCCGCTATATCTCCCGGCCGGGCGAAGAGCCCAGCCTCTTTTTCGGTGTGCAAGTTTGGCGACACACTGGTGGAGCGCTGGCTGGAGCAGCGCTATGCTGGAGCAGTGCTGCTGGGGAGGAAGGAGAAGGACACGAGGGAGGAAGAAGGAAGGAAGGGGGAGGAGCGCCAGGGGTACTTACCTGGCTATGGTGGCAGCCATCTTCATCACCTTGGTGGGCGTTGCAGCAGGAAGTCCTCAACTTGGGAGAGCCACACCATGAAGCTTCGAGGCAGGGTCAGGCATGGCGGCCTGAGCTAGAGCGGCCTTAGCTGCTTTGGGTTGCCCTTTGGGCATCTGGGCAAGGCCTAGTAGTCCGCCATAGCCTCGGCCTATGAGAGTGAAGAAGGGGAGTGGACCTCAAGTGATACCTGCAGTAGAAGAGGAACTCGGACATTGATTCTGGATCAGCCATTCAACATTGTATTATTATTTCTTGTATGAATAAAAGAAGGGGGAGATAAGGAGGAGGAGATTGTTGGGCGAAGAAGAAGAGCCTTGCCATTTGTCTATGCTGGTGTACATCATCTTCTTCTTCTTTTTATTTCTTCTTCTTCTAATCCTCTCTCCCCTCTCAAGTTCATTCATTTCTTTCTGCAATTGGACGGCATTGTACTTTCTGATGGATGTGTATCTCGAAAGTGGCCAGGATCATAACAGGGAAGTAAAATCAGAGAAGGCATGCCCTGGAAATTGAACCCTGTTGTCTGAGGGGGGAAATAACAGAATACATAGAAAACAAAAACGTTGAAATTTGAAAGAAAAAAATAATAATAAAGAGCTGAAAAGTCAATCGAGGGAACAATCAAAAGGAAGGTGCCACTTTTGTGGATTTCCGGTGCTTGTTGTTTGTGCATTTGAGCTGAAGATGAAATGCCAGCACATCCATCTGTGCATTCGGGCATTGATGGGCCGTGGCGTCCCCGTATGTCGGCTAGTCTACCCGACTCTGCCGGTGCATCAATCTCCATCATTGCAACTGTTCTTCTGTCTGTCTTTCCTAACATGTATCCGTCCACCCATCACACCATCTCTCCACTCCTCTGTGCACATCTCCCGATGCCTGCTCATCTGCCTGCCTGTATGTCTATCCGTCCCTCCAACCCAGATCCCTGTCCCCCCTGGGTCCATCCACCGCCATGTCCACGCATCTGCTCATCCCTCCCTTTTCCCGACATGCCTCCCTTGTCCGCCATCCCTACCTCGTCCCCTCGTCTCCCCATTCTTCCATTCTTTATCCCCCGTCCTTTCTGCCCGCGTCCCTCCGTCTCTCATACCCCATCCTTCCCATCCTTCCCGGCGTTTGTCAACAAAACGACCCACAGGCATGTAGCCCAACACATCGATGAAAAAGGTGAACACTGAACACTGAACAGGGTAAAACGAAGGAGGGAAAGAACCAGGAGGACATCCTGAAAGCTGACCGTGAACAACCCTTTTTTAGTCTAGAAATCACTGTATCAGTCACCGTTCTGTGCTGATGGTTGTCATCTTTTTGGTTGCTTTTGTTATTTGCAGAGACGGACCAAGGTATCTTCGATGCGGTTCTAGCAGGTGTGATTCCATTCGACAACGACCCTTGGCCATCGATATCCGAAAGTGCCAAGGAGTTGATAAGGCGTATGCTGGAGATGGACCCAAAGAAGAGAATTACGGCGCGCAAAGTGCTCGGTGAGTCTGCACTCTCGTTTACCCACCCGTTTCCCTGAGTCGCCCCTTGGGGTACACTTGGACAACCTGCATCCTGACTCTGTTGGCACCCAACAAAGCAAATCGCAGCGCGCCAAGTGCTCGGTGAGTCTGCACTTTCGGTTACCCACCTGTTTCCCTGAGTTGTCCCTTTGGGGTCCGCTTGGACAACCTGCATCCTGACTCTGTTTGACCGTCCGCAAAGATCTGAATTCATGTCAAGCATGGCAGTGCTAAGACCAGCACCACAACTTTGAAACTTTACTGTGGTAAAAACCAGGTTATGCCTGCTCTTTGTGTCCAGTAGTACAGACTCGGGAGGAGGTTATGCGTGCTCTTTGTGTCCAGTGGTATGGACTCGGGAGGGCCGGGGGCTCAACGCTTTGTGTACTGCAAGCTGAGGTGAACTACCTAGGCAATCACACGTTCATTGAAATCGGCGTGCAATCAGACGTTTTGACTCCATTGAAATCCACTGCGGACTTTTTAAACTGTCTTTGCAACCCGTATTCTCTCTTGCTTTGCTCACCTTTCTGTAAGTTCCTTTCTGTAAGTTCCTTTGGGGAGGCAAACTAAGAATCTTCCTTGCTGTCATTTGGAATTCTGGCAAATTGGAAAATCATCATGGTTCAACCGATTGCCGCTTTTCGCAAAACAGAAGTTGATCCCTGAGAGCAACAATTTTCTCCTTCTCTTGTCCTCCTTTCTTCTCTCTTGTGGGTGGGCTGTTTCTGGGACCTCGCATTTCATAAAGCCGGTGCAAACATGTGAAATGGAACTGGAAATCAGTGCATACTTTTTCCACACTAGACACCCCAAACTGGACACCCATCTTTCCTTTCATTATTCGGCATATAGCAAAAGTTTTTGAGGGTGTCTATTGTATGTAGTAATCGCTGTCTGCTTCTGCTGCTCCTGCTGCTCCTTGTGCTTCGGCTGCTCCTGCTGCTCCTGCTGCTCCTGCTGCTCCTGCTGCTGATAATGATGATGATGATGATGTCATCATCATCATCATCGTCAGCAGCAGCAGCAGCAACAGCAGCAGAACCATCATGTCATTCACGAAAAGAAATCACCATGCGCCTCAGAACGGGGGCTTGTATCTCAGAAAGAGATCTCAGAAAGAGTCGGAATCAATGGAGGAAGAGCAACACAAACAAGTTGTTTAACTTTATTTGGACCTTTAGGGAGGAAAAAGAGAAACTTTTTTGTGTGTGTTCTGCTTGGTCTTGCCTACCCAGAAAGGCAAATGTAGATTTACTGGTTTTCAAAACCTAGACATAGCCGTTGCTGAGTGGGCATGCTTCTTGGACAACCGTGTCCATGTGAGGCCCCTAAAGATGCCTGTAGTTATCCTCAGCCAAGTAACTACCGTCTTAACCTCTGAATATATACAACGCACGGTCATCATAGCTGTATTTGTGGCAATTTTCAGTCCAAATGCAGGGATAATGACTACCGTCTTCACCGGAATAGAACGCCCGGTTATTATAGCTGTATCTCGACTGGAAAGGGCACCAAATGCGGCTATAATGACCGGGCGTTCTATTCGGGTGAAGACGGTAGGCGTTCTATTTGGGTGAAGACGGTAGGCATTCTATTTGGGTGAAGACGGCAGGCGTTCTATTTGGGTGAAGACGGTAGCCAGAACGAAAAGTTGGTACGACATAACGGCGTTCGCCCTCTTCACGTCTGTTTGGACATGCGCGTGGTCATACTACTTCGCAGAATGCGAAGGAAACAACAAGAGACAGGATGACTTTGGAAGGACATAATGATGGAGGTCAGTGGTCCAAGAAGGAACAAGCTTGTCCAACACTTGTTGTTTGTGCACAGCAGTTTTGAACCTGAGGAAGCTGATCTTTTTTCAAGGGTTTAGTTTATCGAGCTTCATTGTAACATTGGGCATGCACGCAGAAGGTTATAACTTATACGATAGGACTGTCAGGGCTTGACAACACACTATACTGCTGAGGGGTCTGTTTTTTTTTTTGGGGGGGGGGGGGCGCAGGGGGGAAGTATTGCATCTGTCCTGCTTTGTGTTAGCTTCCTTTCGGAATAGTGTGGCCCGTCTTCTGTTTCTCTCCTGTTTACTTTTTGGAGACTTCGCTCTTGATTGATGGCCTCTCCCTGCTCGAGTTTGTTTTGTCACTGCTCGATAGCTTATGCTACAGTGGCTGGTGCTGTTGCGTCCTCTTCCTTTTTAAAAAACAAGGAAAAGGTTTTTCTCTATGTCTGTGCATCATCCTCGCTGCCGCGCTAACCGTCTGTATATGGTTCCAATTCCTCCCATGGATGCCCCCCTAACAACTCGTCTTGTCGTTTTAATTTGTGGTTAAACCGCCAGTACCTTTCTCAGCTGTCGGTGCCGAGAGTGTAAATTCAAACTGCACGCCAAAGAAAAATGAACCGACGCGCTATCGAATTTGGCTGGCGCCTCCAGCCGTTTCGTCCTGGCAGTGCCAAGGCTTCCCGCTCCCCCCGAGTTAACCGGCGGGCATTTGTTTTTCAAGCGGGGAAAGGTACTGGTGGTTAAGCCATGGTCACTCCATCCGCACCTGTTTTGACAAACCGGAAGTCGCATTTCCCCGCGCCTAAAATCTACAGTGCTGCCGCGACGAAAAATAATTGTGGAACCCTTCGCCACCGAAACCCTCTACCGGGCCTGGGCACTGTCGATTTTGGCCGGCTGCTTGTCGACAAGATCCTAAAATAATTGCTTTACATTGATCCAACGAAGAGATTTGTATTGAATCTTTTACAAGACAAATTTTGATTGCGACGATTGTGATTCTACTGGCCAGGCGGGGGGCTGCAGGTTTTTTTTTTTTTTCACAGTTGGCGTGCCACGCCTGGGCTGCCACTGGAATGCCCTCTCTGCCCTCCTTGTGCACAGCACAGAGCTTGGCGGCGGTCGGGGATGGTGTGTGGTTCTAGTTGAACCGCAGGATCACTCTTCCTGAGACTGTACTAGGTAGCCTGCTTGCTTTTCGGATCCGTCCCTTCATTTCTTCCTCTCATCCTTTCTTTATAGCCCTCATGTGGAGTTCTCTCTCCCTCCCTGCATTGCGTCCCCCTCAGAGGTTTTGTCCTTTAAACCACGAGTACTTGGCCCAGCTATCAGCCATGGAAAAAAAAACAGTGCAGAAACGTTTCTAGTCGGATGAATTTGGACACTCCTGTAGTGGCCCGTACGTTTCCTAAAATTGTGGCTTGTTAACGGGCACGACTTTAGGAGGAGAAGAAAAAGAAAGTGGAAAATGAACCTTTATGAGTGGGGCCTGCCTTCAATCTGTCTTACATGTTCCATGCAAAGGTTCGTTCATACATATGTTTTGAATTGTCTTCTTTTCCCTTTGAAGATTTTCTTTTTTTTTTTCTTTCTTTTTTTTCAATTTGCCTCTTGGACAAGGAAGACGAACGAAAACGAACTCACCCTAGTGGGGTTTCCCTTTTCTCTGTGCTTGACGTTCCCTATTGGATGCTGCAATACAAATGCCGTGTGCATACAAACGTACACAATGCTGCACATCCATACAAACATATGTACAACAGAGCATTCATGGGTGCGTGAGGATGGGGATGCCTCAGACATACCATTAGACCATGCAGTACTTGTGCGCTTGAAGCAGTTCTCTGCAATGAACAAGTTTAAGAAACTTGCTGTGAAGGTAAGAGTGCCTCTCTTTTTTTCCGAATGCCCCCATTTTTTTTTTAGACAAGTGGTGCAGTTCCCCTTTTTTTAATAATGGTAGATTTATGACCTCAGGCTGTTGAAAGTTGAACGTCGAAAGTCGAAACCGTTTTGATCTGACAACCGTTCGTTTTTCTCGTTCTTCTGTGTGTTCACAATGCTGATTTGTTGCTGTCATTTTTTTCTCGTCGTGGATCCCAAGGCATGACATAAACTGCCTTCCCCTCTCTCTCGCAAATTCAATTGCCGCCCATGATTCATAAACAAGCCCCTATCTACCCAGCCTTCCTCACATGTACTCACATGCATATGTTGATGCCATCAGACGTGCATGCAAATCCCATACGTATGAATTGACGGCGTGTCCATGTATATATGTATAATCTTATGCATCACAATACATATATGCATGCACCAAAACCAATACAACTTTGCTGTTTGCATTTCATAAACGGCGGGCTCGAATTCCCTTTCCCTAGCAAGTAATTACTCACCATTGCGGGCTCCAAAGGCCTTTTTCCCTCCTCCCATTCCATGAGTTACCTGAACCCCCTTTTCCACTCAACTTATCCACCAAACTCGTCCATGAGCTTCCTTTGCATCGTTGCCTCCATGACATTCATCATCACATTCATCACTGGCATTCACTGGTTTTGTCCTCTTATCTATACAAACACATATCATCTCTGGTATGCGCTTTTACTCTTGTCGTTTGCCGCATTTTTGGTGTGCAACATTTGTCATCATCATCGATGTCGGCTGGTGGTCGTCATCATCATCATCAGATCATCCATGGGTGCGCGAAGGTGGCAATGCGTCTGATGCTCCTTTGAATAACACTGTGCTTTCACGCTTGAAGCAGTTCTCAGCAATGAACAAGCTCAAGCGGTTGGCACTGAAGGTTAGCAATCTGCTCACTGGGCCAGTCTGTTTGGGAATGAACATGATTGTGCTTGTGGTGGAGAGAGAGAGAGATGAGAAGAGCGTAGCGAGCTCCAGGGGGGGACTGGGCCAGTCGGTTCGGGAATGAACATGATTGTGTGTGTGGTGGAAAGAGAGATGAGAAGATCGAAGTGAGCTCCAGGGGAAGGATCAAAGGAGTCTGGGGGAAGGCGGGGGGGGGGGGGGGGAGAGGGCCGAAGGTGGCGGCAAAAAGAGATGGCGAGGGAGGCGAAGGGCCAGTGGTGAGGGAATGAGATGCAGATGGGAGTTCTCGCAAGGGGCTAAGAGGTAGAGAGGAGGGAAGGGGGCGAGGGGTCGGAAGAGAGAAGGGGGGAGGGGTGGTGGTGAGCATGAACCTTTTTCAACTTCGAAAATCAATTCCGAGTCATAGGTCATTTGGGACAGGCACACAGGGAGAGTGGGAGGGGGGAAGGAACAGGAAGGATAAGGGAGCAAAGGGGGCACATGGGAGAGGGGGTTGGGGGCCAGGGAGGAAGAGAAAGAGAGAGAGAGAGAGAGAGAGAGAGAGAGAGAGAGAGAGAGAGAGAGAGAGAGAGAGAGAGGGGAAGGAACAGGAAGGGGAAGGGAGSAAAGGGGGCACATGGGAGGGGGTTGGGGGCCAGGGAGGGAGAGAGCAAGAGAGAGAGAGAGAGAGAGAGAGAGAGAGAGAGAGAGAGAGAGAGAGAGAAGGCAATTGAGGTGTGCAAAGTATTTCCCACTAGCTCCTTTGTCCTGTTTATTTCTTTTGGTTTTTCTGGGGGGGGAACTGGGGGTGCTCATCGTGTGTGTTGAGGCGCGAATGTTGACGTGAATGATGATATCAAGACACTCATCTACTGCATCATTGTGGAGATGGAGGCGAGGTACAGAGAGAAAGGAAAGAGAATTTGCTATTGCTAAAACGATATATCAGCTGCTGTAATTCATGCATGCCTGCTTCCAACTTCTTTTATGATCCTCTTGTGGACTCTGCGTGAAACAACCGCTGAAGTGGGTCGCGGTAAAAACGTAGTGTTTCGATGAACTGTTCAAATCTAGCAAAACAAATGTTTTCTGTGCATGTCTTTCATCGGAAAGCATTCAAAGCAGTGTGCACCTGCACACTTGTCATTTCACAGCAGTTCATCTGGCTTCCGCTTGCAGGCAATGCAGGGTGATTTCCACTCTGTGTTGCAGAATGGGATCCTCTGTTGCAGTTCAAGGGAAAAGAGAGCAGTCTTGCAGCTTCTCTCATTATGACTGAGGCAGTTGGCATCCCAGCCCTTTCATTCCAGGTCCAATCTGCTTCTTCACCCTTATGTTAATAGGAGAGTTTTCTGCTACCAGCATTCGGCGGATAGTCTGTCATCCCGGCAGGCATGCGTGATGGACATGCATTCACATCTGGCATCAAGTTGAACTAGAAAGGAGCACATACATACCTGTGTATGTGCTTTGTTTGTCTTTGGATGGGATCAAGAGATGAAAACTCTACACAACTCTCTCAGGCTGATGCAAGCTGGGCATGGCAGTGTCTTTTCTGCGAGTGGTTAAGCAACCAGCGTGTCCGAGCCTCATTTTCGCGACACGCGCTGTCGGCCTTTCAGCATCTTGCTGTCAACCGGCGGGTTGTTTTGAAGAGTCGGGCTGCCCACTTGTGGTTTGATCTCGAGCTTCCTCTCGCTCCTCCTCCCTCCTACTTTGTTTGAGTACCTTTCGCCTTCGCAACACGCATTGAAACTGTCGGTTGTGCGAGGAATACGTAAGGGACATTTCAGTGGAAGCTAGGGACAGAAGGAAGAGGAGGGTATGAGCAATTTTCATCTCATTGCTGGTGGTTGCTTGATGTGAATCGTGGTTAGTATTCTCTCGACTACTCTCCACATATGCCTTGCAATAGGTGGATGGGCAAGGAATGACCATCCCAGGAAGGATATCCAAAAGTTCACAGTTCACCTTTCACACTTGCAGCAATTGGTTTTGATTTGGGGATTCTGTCTCAGCCTCTCTCCCTCTCTCTCTCGCCGTGTTCGGGTATTGCAGCGATATAGCCTGTGGCTGATAAGCCTTCCCTGGCGCATCGTTGTGAGGCAACTGCGCGCAATCCATTGAGCGGCATGGTGTGGAGCTTCCCGACATTGGAACACTCGAGAACAATGCTTAGCCACATCTTGCTGCACCCGTCAGTCCGCTGAGCAGCAGGTTGCAGATGCTGACAGCAAACATATGTATCGCTACGTTCTGAGTCGTGTGACCAATTTGACTGAGCATGGTGCAGGTTTTGAGGGGTCTTCCATCTGCACGTTCATGCCTTTTCGCAAAGAAAAAAGTTCGAACTGACATGGATAGCATTCGGTATGCACTCATCGTGCAGCACTTGGCCGGCCGGCCACATCGTCGTCAGCTCTAGTTTGCTCAACATGATGCAGGTGTAAGCGGCTACCGTAGTTTGCGAATGCAGAAAGAACATGGACCTGGGGTGGAACCCAGGTCTTGGCTCGATGGAGGTTCAAGGCGGAACATGGGCTTCAAATTTAGACCTGTTTCAGTATGACAACCAGCAAGGAGTTCAAGTTTTGCTTGGTGTGATGGAGGTTCAAGACCCCTGGGTTCGACCCCAGGTCCATGTGGCGAGCATTCGGTGCGCTGGAGGTCTGGAAGGCCAGTGAACTTCAATGACTTGGTAAATCTGATTTAGTAAATAAGTGTTAACTGAGACTATCCTGACAGGATTCAGTTACACGAACTCAAAAACTACCGTCTTCACCCAAACAAGAACGCTCGGTCATTATCGCAGTATTTGGGGCAACTTTCAGTCCAGATGCAGCCATAATGACCGGCTGTTCTTTTCAGGTGAAGACGGTAGTCCAAGCGATCGTGTCGTGCTGAGTGTGTCAGGCAGTGAGAATTTGACTCTGTAGAATGCTGTTTTTAGTGAGAGTCTTGGGACTTTAGTGTTACATCATCAACTTAGATTTTATTTGAAACTTTTTAGTTGTTCCATGATTCCGTCATCAACTTAGATTTTATTTAATCATCTCCCGAAGGATCGTCAGATTTTATTTAATCATCTCTCGAAGGATCGTCCCTCAAATTTTGTTGAGGAGTTTTTTGTCCCATCCTTTTGGATACCTGTGTGGGTGGAGCTTGGAGGTGGACTCGCCGGACGGTCATCAGCGAAAGGCTGGAGGGGCTATGATCTTCCATGTCTGATCTTTTCGAAGAGAGAACGCTGCGGACAGGTGCAGATGAAAAAGTGATATCTTCTCATGCTACGCTTGTAGAGTTTTAGAGACCTGCATAACGTATGCAGCGCGGCGGTTTTCCTCACTTGTTAGAAGACCATGTCCAGGGGCAAAACTGGTCATCTCGGAGTATCTCATCATTTTCTGTGAGAGTCGTGGACATGCATTAGTTCCCATGCAAGGTTCCCCTTCATGTACCACTTCCTTTGTCGGTCACTCTCTTCTCCAGCTCTCAGTTTTTGCCAGAAATAGGAGAGGATCAGTATGTGAGAGCTGACCTGTCTACCCTGAAAGGGGTGTATAGGAAAACACTCAAAACTTGTGTTGTATAGGCAGAGACGGCTTCTTTTAAAGATGCTGAAAGAAATTTCATGAGTAATGAGTTATTTCCTCGAACGCAGGAGCGATACAGAGCACTGCTTTGCATTTGTTGGATTTCATTTTACATTCTTAGAGCATATTTTATTCATGTAGATCTTTGTTTGAGGACAAGGTGGGCAGAGAAATTAGAAAATTCAAAATTGTTGAGCGCATTGAAGGCAGTCGTCTTTTTGTCAAGGACTTTGAAAGAAAATTTGTGATTCATTTCGTTGAAGTTTGAACACAGGAGCGATATATAGTGGTACACACTGCTACGCTGAATTTGTTGTATTTCGTCTTAGATCGCATTTTCTCCGGGAAGATCTTTTGATGCGAGGAGGAGTAGTTCGAGAGAAAATTAGGAATAGTTGAATGCACTTGTAGGCAGTCGATTTTTTTCAAAGATTTTGAAATAAATTTTCTGATTCATTTTTTCTTAACGCAGGCCACAGGAGTGATATACTCTCTGAATTTGTTGGAGTTTGTTTTAGAAGTTAGGAGTCTAAGGACACATTTTTTTCCGGGTAGACCTTTTAAATTTTAATACGAGGAGGAGGTGGATTGAAAGTCGGAAACTGTAGAGCGCATTGATGGGGTTATCTATCATCCATAGTATCAGCTGCTGGCAGCAAGTAAGTAAACTGCTGCCTGGTCGCATACATGGATATCTTATGTTGGTGTGTTAGAACTTGGAATGAGAGCAACAATAATACAATATCGATCGATGATGCGTCCTGCGGTTCACACCTTGAGAATACCATAACACGAAAAGGAGTATACCATATCTGCGAACGGAAAGTTTCGAGGGCTCTCCGTTGGCCATCAGGGGTTATAAAAAAACCTGTATAGGATGTGGGGATTGGCAATTTGGCACCAGATTGTGGTGCTACTATTTTTATTGCTGGACCTTCTTGACATTTTGGATGCCATTCTTTCAATTCTTTTCAAATGGAAACCAATAATTTAGACAGGATCAGAGATATCAGAGAGATGGGAAATAATGTTTTTTGGTGGTTGTTCAATTACGAGCTGTGAGCATTGCTAGCGTAGAGCGCCATGTCATAGCCAGTCGCGGAGGTTTTTGTCAAGGAGTTGCAGAGGTAAGAGGAACAACGATACGAATCCAGACAAAGAGGAAGAGAGCTTTCAGTTTGCCACGTTGAGGGTGTTGGAGTGAGGGAGGGGAGATGGGAGAGACCACGACATGTAGAGAGAGAGTTCCTTGGATCTGGGCTTTTGACATCAACCATGAAGTATTGAGCCATGTTGCTCCTCTTTTAGAGAAAGCATTCCATCCCTCGCCCCGGTGCCCTCCTCTCTCTCTCTCTCTCTCTCTCTCTCTCTCTCTCTCTCTCTCTCTCTCTCTCTCTCTCTCTCTTTCTCTCTCTCTCTCTCTCTCTCTCTCTCTCTCTCTCTCTCTGTATATATATGTGTGTGTGTGTGCTTGCATTTTTGTGTGTGCGCATGCGTGCATGTGTTGTTTAATTGTCTTACAACAGAAATCTGCTCTGAACACTCTGGCCCTTTCCTTGATATTGCAGTGTCCGGTGTTTGCCATTCATTCCGCTAGCTGGGGTAGTTGAAGAGTGTTGCTATTCGTGTTCTGGTCATTATTTCACAAGTTTTGAAATGGGCCAAACGGGTCAACTGGGCTATTGGCCCTCATGCTTCATGAAGGAAATAGGTGGGGAGAGAAATGGAGGAAGTTTGGAAGAACACAGTCACACAGAGGCTGATCGCTTGGCGAGATATGGATGTCCAGAAGGGCATGATTTCTGGCTGGAGTTTTGACCAACTTTTCCCGTTCCTTGTTGGGCTATTGGCCCTCATGCTTCATGCTCCTGCATTCTCCCGTTAGGACTTCTTTTGCTGCTCCCTCGCCCCCC